CGTCGAAGGAACGTTCAACCATGGTGCGTTTTCTTTGATTAATTGCCGCGCGTGTGTCGCCGACTGGCGATCTCTCGAGGAAATTCGTTCCATCTCCCGCTGTCGGTACGTGGCTGATATACTTTTCTCCATGCGCGAGATGCTCTAGCGAACGTTGGAATCGTGATTTCGCGAATGGCCAGGATTTATTCCTTTTCCATTTCCTCTTCCCTCTACTAGTCTCGCTTTCTCTTATCGCACCACCTTGCCGTACTCCCTCCCTTTCCCGCGGCCTTTTATCGAAACTCGAAGACAAGGGGTGCAGGCTAGAAACGAACGGCAAGCATCGAGTATAAATTTTCACGGTTAAACGTTAAAACAGCGGAACGTATACTCTTCATCGACTGCATTTTAATTTTCGAACTTCCTCGTAACGTCGGTAAAGCACCCAACGATGACGAATTTTCCGGGTATCCGTCGAATCGTAGAAACCTCTTCGAGATGTCGCTGCGCGCTATCGATACTCGATTTCGGACCACTCTCGATTCCTTGGTCGTTGAATCATCGGGGTGATGTTAGGAAGAGTAACGAGCGTGAATCACGAGGTGCTCTTAAATACGGGCATTACGTGCGAGGAGTAAGCCGTTTCCTGGAACGCGCATAGTAATTCGTAAGTCATCGTTCCGTAGGGTTAATATAAAGTGGAAGGAAGCGACGGTCGTCCTGTCAATGGGTAACTCTGGGGCTTCCCGGCGCGCGTCGGGCATCATCCTGGTAGCCGGCGTGGCGCGGCGCGGCGCGGTACGGTCCGACGCGACGCTACGCGTCGCAACAGTCCGTCTCTCTCTCTCTCGGCCTCTCTCCGTTCCATAACCTCCCTCTCCGCGTGCATACGGATAAGCCGATCGTGGCGGCAGGAGCGTTGGAAGGGCCACAGGCAGCAGCTGTCGGTAGCGGTCGATGCGAACGGGGCTCGATCGAGGTCCGCTCGAGAGAGTCGGGCCTACTTCCTCGAGGGCTCGGGAACGACTAACTCTGTCTACTGCTGCTGCTGCTGTTGGTGCTGCTGCTGCTGCTGCTGCTGCCCGTATGCGTGTTCGTCGGTCGTGTCAGTACTTTTCAGGTCGGTCCACAGTGTAGTTGGCTTACCATCGAGTCCCGACTGGCACGGTCGCTCGGCTGCACGATTCGTCGAGTCGCCGTTGGGTTACGCTCGCGAGTGGTCGGTCGTGTGCTCTCTTCCTCGTGCAACGCGGCAACCCAAGTGTCTCTCGTGCATCCTGCCCGTTTCTCGTGCCGTAGTGTGCAGCGAGCTTGAAACTCGTCCGTGTGCTCGCGTCTCGTAGGATAGGAGAAACCGAGAGCAAGAGGGAGCGAGAAGAGGAGCAAGGAAGAGAGAGGGAGAACGCAGAGCGGCATTCGTTAATACCCGCTTCCGGCACGTGGAACCGTATCGCACTCTGTTTTTCTTCGCAGCGCATCGCTGCCGTCGCTCCGAGCTTCTCTCGTGGGAGGTCAGCACCTCAGCCGGTGGGTAAGTGCAGAAACCACGCTCTCGCCGGAGCAGCGGACAGAGTACACCTATCGGGATAAGGCTTCACGGGAAGGATGCACATAACCTTTTAAAACACCGGCTTCTCCGACCGAATGCAACTACGCACTTTTCCCGTACGTAGTACTATACGACGTTGGCGAACGAATCGGTCGTCGTCGCACTTGTTGCGTGTTTTTCTCACGTTTCGACGGAATCGCGATTCGTCTACGAGATTTTTCATCGTGAGAACGTTGCTCGCGATACGGTAGCGTATCTGTGAAACGCGAGAAGGTGGAATGTCTCGACACGCGAAGATAAGACAACAGTCAACCACTTACGGGGGTGGATCCTCTTGCACTTCTCTTGTTTACGAACCGCGAGCATAGGAAACGTAGCCACGTGGTTGTGTGTCGCGAGCTTCTGTAATTCGAATAGAAACGTTCCAATTTCCACCAACCGTCTCTGCAACGAACAGGTTTTCATGTTTCAGTCGATTCCCTCTCGCGCGTCAAGATTCCCAACGATTTGCTCGACCGTGCTTCGTCGCGGAAAAATTCGAAAACACGCCTGCATACGCGTTGAGAATTTTAGGGAATATCCGACCTTTCGCGACGCAGCGTAATTTTCGAAACGCGTGAAAGGTACACGCGTCGCGACTAATCGATTAGTCATCGTGAAAAGATAAATCGATAAGCGTGCTCGTCGGCCGATTCCACTGGTTGGATAATCGGTTGCTGTTTTTCCGTGAACAATCTCGGCTGCCGACGACTCGTTGGACCCCGGTCGAATCGTAAATTCCGGATCGATAGTGGCGCTATGTAACTCGTTGTACTTGAGGGACACGTTCCGAAGCGCCGAGTCTATTGGTCGGTACGGCTTAGAAATGGAAGTGAATGGGAGGGCTGGCTATAAGTGTTCGTCACGTGAAAGACCCGAGCAGATAGCAGTGTCAACCCCATGAATAATCTGAAATCCACTGGCGCCTTCGTGTTTACTTTATTCGTCTATGCGTCGTTTCCTGTCTCACGGGAAGCCTAGGGTATCTCTGCTTAATATCTCCGTTACTTCCTGTCCCGTATGTCATTCCCGATTCATCGATCGTCCAGTTGCAGGTATTTTTAAAGTAATCGCGTCCGTGTGCGGGAGTTATCGCGGATCGAAATACGCTGGATCGCGGAGGAATCGTAACGAAGATAATAGTCGATTGATAAATCGCGGTCTCGTTTACGAGAGCGTGCACCAGTTCATTCATTCGCGTAGCTGCTCCTTTCCGCCATCGTTTAAAAGCTAGAATTCCGCGGATTTACGCGCGGGTATCTTTATCGCGTCGTAACACGTAGTGCGTAAACAGTGCGTAACACACGTGTAACACAGTCGAAGATAGGGAACAGAACACGTTGGGCAATTCGATGTGCCAACTTGGCCGTTGGAAAATAATTCCGATTTACCAACGGACCGAATCGCGCGACGCGTAATAACGCCGGAGCTCTCGGTTCTCTTCGGCTTCTCTTCGCGAGACAATCGTAGAAAGTTTGATACGCGTAGGTATTTACTTTCCTACATTCTTTGCATTTCGTTCCACCGTTTCGTTTCTTATCTCCTATCCAGTCGGATCTAGCTTTCCCGTGTTATCGCTCCCTTCGCTGGCCACACACCATCGCTGCCACCATTGCGCTCTAGTTTTCCTTTTCTAATTCCCAGAAAAAGGTTCCTCTCGTTTGCATCCTCCTCCGTTTCTTCGCCAAGCCACGAAAGACAGAGAAGTTAAGAGTTTCTCGGTTTTTCGTCGGATTCCTTCCCCTCCTTCGCTCTCTATCCGTGTCTTCGCTCGTTTCCTGGAAAACATTTTCCCGTTTTTTTCCGGCAAAGTGATACATTGGAAACACGTGACTGGTCTACGCGTAGGTGGTCCCTCGGGACAGCGTTGCGTAAATTCGTGGAAATTCGTGGAAAATGCCCCTGTGGTTGCTTCTCGTTTCCCGAAACGGGAAACGTACAGATGGAAAATCGAGGAGTAAATTCACGATAACGCGTTTTCGCCTTGGAAAGCCTGGTTGTTTCGCTTGGCGATCGTCTCGCATGATGTAACGCTCGTTCCTCTGTTCCCGTTCACTTTTTCACCCGGCCTTATCACAAAAGGAAGTTGATAAAAGAATTTAATCAAAGCGTTGAATGAAGTCGGCTACGAAACTTCCTCCACGATGATGACGTTTCGTCGGTATTTATAGTCGCGTTGACAACTTTTCGAAGCGTCGTCGGCGAAAAGGGCATTGCGCTGACGTTACATAAATTTACGCTTCATTCACTGGCAGGGTTTTTCACTGCGACAAAGTACGAGCACGTCGAGCCAAGTATATTTCGGGTGAAATGCTCGGTGGAATGATAAATATTATAAATATAGGAGCGATAACATCGTATACTTTATTACACCCTGCTAGATCTATGTAAATATTACGAGACCATAAATACCCGCTGTGTTGCCTATCCCATGGCCCTTAAGTTATATACCATTCGAAATTTTCCTACTTTATCACGTATGCTACTACAAAAAGTAGGTCTTCGTATCTCTCTACGTAACCCGGTATTATCTTTCACGCCTTCTTCATTCAACTTTGTCGTTGGTATGACGTTTAGTTATCCTGTACACACAGGCGGGGAAGGCGCAGAGTGTGAGTATGTATCGTAAGAAACGAGAAATTACGTAAGAAATGCGTTCGTCTTTCGAGCTTTACGATACTTTCTCCCGTTTTATCTACGATTTCATGGTTACTCGAACGTTTATCTTCACGACTCCGACGATGGAGGAAAAATTTGTCACGCTCTCGCGCTCTGCCGAGAAGCTAGAACGACGATCTGACGGAAACGTAGACGAACCGACGGGTTTTTCGGGAAAGAATTTACCCCGTAACCCACGGGTCACAGGTAACTCGATTTTCACGAAACCGAACCGCTACTGCCGCACCGAGGAAAACAAAGGGTGAGGACCCAGGCTGTGTATAGCAAACCCTCTTCCTCCTTATACATTTACAAGATGTTCGAAAGCCGACGATGAGGAGGCCAGGGCTATTATACGAACGCAGGTGTCGGGGTGCAGATGTCGCGCGGCAGACGGTGCAGCACGGTCGCGTACAGTACACGAAAATTTTAATGAAACTCCAAGAATCACCGGTATTCGCTGCTCGATAGTGCCACGAGTGTGCCTGCTTACCAGTGTATCGTTATATACCCTTGCACCAATTTGTTGTCCCACGCTGCACGTTTGACGTGTACGTCTTAATATCGTAATCCAAGCTAATATTTACGCACTGATAATTGCCGGGAGCTGGCCTGGAATCGATGCTTCGAGCGTATCGTGGTTGATGGAACAGGTGCAACGTCGAATGAAAAAGATCCTTTTCTAAATTTAACCTGGCCGATGTTTTTCCCAGATATCCGCCTGGTACTCGGTGTAGCGGAAATGATAGCATTTGTTTCTTGCTCGTTTCAGGTAGAAGTCGAAATGTTGTGATGGCCGGAACGTCGCGACGTCCGAGCTCCGAGCTCGGACCTGACCTGTCGTCCCCGACGCCGCTGAAGAAGTTAAAGTTCTCCGAGAGCAGCTCGATCGAGGGGACGTCCGAGAAGAAGCATGACTTGAGTACGGAGGAGTTGAAGAGCGTGGAGAAATTAGCGAGCTCGGTGGCAGCCTCGTTATCCGAGAACACGATAGAGTTGACACCCGGCACAGCGTCGGAAACGAATCCGTTCGAAATCAGCGAGGAATCTCTGGATAGTACAAAGCAATTGATCCAAACTAGCTTGGAAGGGCCGGCGAACGTGACCGCGGGCTCGTCGAAGGAAGGACACTTTGGTAGCTTCGAAGCGATCATACAGATGAAGTACACCGGTCAAGAAGAGGATTCCGGTAGCTCGAGCAAGAGGTCAGAGTCCGACAGTGATGTACAAATTCAGACGTCGTTGCTTGGCGAGGTTGCACTGTACCAGGAATTGTCGCTGATCGGAAACGGCGCGTACGGAACTGTCTACAAGGCCAAAGACTTGAATACCGGACAAGTTGTGGCGTTGAAGAAAGTTAGGGTACCTCTGACGGAAGATGGCTTACCCACGTCTACGTTGAGAGAGATAGCTACCTTGAAGCAGCTCGAGAGATTCGAGCATCCGCACATTGTAAGTAACATCGTGTGCTTAATGTCGTTTGTATTTGCATTTCTATACATATTCTCCGTTACGCATGCAGGTGAGACTACTAGACGTTTGTCAAGGGAATTATCTACACTTGCCTTCCGCTGATGGAAGATCGGAAAGGCTAGATCGAGGCCTGACATTGTGGCTGGTGTTTGAGCACGTGGAAAGGGACCTAGCATCTTACATGGCCTCCTGTCCACGGCCAGGTATCCCGTCCCATCTGGTAAAACAGATGTCAAAGGAGATACTCAGAGGCGTCGAATTCTTACACAGTCATAGGATCATACACAGGGACTTGAAGCCTCAAAATCTGTTGGTGTCCAGAGAAGGGAGAATAAAGATCGCCGATTTTGGCTTGGCGAAAACGTACAACTTCGAGATGAGATTGACTTCTGTGGTAGGTTCGCGCGACGTATGAATTTCGCTTGGTTTTATGGTGGTACAATTCTAACGATACCATTGTTGTAAATGTAAATCGTTGAAATCGCTGTTACTTGTAGGTCGTGACGCAATGGTATCGCGCACCAGAAGTCCTCCTAGGCTGCTCTTATGCAACTCCTGTTGACATTTGGTCCGTAGGGTGCATACTAGCGGAATTGAGCAGACTTGAACCTTTGTTTCCGGGAACGAGCGAAGGCGACCAACTCGACAGGATTTTCCAGTAAGTTAGCAAAGTTGTTCGACGTTCTCGTTCCGTGGGAGATAATGGTTCAAACTTAAATGTATTTTCACCGTTGTTCTACAGAGTAATTGGGACTCCGTCGCAAGAAGAGTGGCCTGGGAATGTGTCCCTTAGTTGGACAGCTTTCCCTTACAGGCAACCGAAACCTCTTGCAGCAATAATACCTGATCTCAATGAACATGGACTAGATTTAATTAAAAATATGCTTATGTTTGGTCCCCATAGACGATTAACTGCAGCTCAAGCCCTCAGACATCGGTATTTCGCTGAAGATGATGACTCGTGATGATTATTTTCCGTGAGTATCCTTTGGCATTCATTAGCAGTTTCTTAAATACAGACTGACGTTACGGTATCCAAATATACGTAAACGTATTATTTTTAAGAACGTCGCAGTACTTTTGTTTTTAAGCAGATAGTATAGTTTATTACGAATACGATACAATATGATTCTTCGTAACTACGTACGGCTTATACATATTCTTTTCTCGTTTAGAGATTATAATTGCAAAATACGTTTATTACACTTTACGAAACTATCATCATATTTAATTCATATGACCATTGCGTTACTTCGAAACATCATCGTAATTTAATTATATATAGTAATTAAGCAACGCAACAAGTAAACAGTTCCCTGATTTATTTAGATAATCGTATAATTTCCATCGTCTGTATATGTATGTAGCGGTTACGTTATTGGCACGTTATTTATTTAGGTAATATCTACATAGTATTTTCGTTATTTTTATTCTCACGATAGTGCTGAATCTAATCGTATCGAACTTTTATTTACTTTATGATACCTCTGGGCTACGTAAGAAATGTTCTCTAAATAAGCACAAATAGGATTCATGAACGCGCACCAAAAATAATTTCGTCTAGTGATTAACTAGGTGTGCCTTCCAAAGTCGTTGAAACGTTCGTAACCCATGCCTTAATTTTCTATGTAATTAAACTTAACGATAAGCGTACTATTAAGTAGCGTTATTCTTGTAAGACTGGGGCCTATTGACCCGTTAGATTTGTCGGAAAGACATAGGATCTTCCGCAAAAAACCAGAAAGTACACTGCCATATGTATGTAAAACGAATAATGAATAGCGTTTAATATTGTATTTTATCTTCAGTATGTGTATAAATATTAATTTCACGAATAATATTTATGTATATCTAAGTATGCAGTTTGTAAAGATATGTGGAAGACCTTCAAAAAGACTGTACAACAAAATAAAGATTTTATAGTTTTATATATCGAAACTATTCCTAAAATGAGATTAAGGAAATTTAAAAAATTAAATAATTATTGACCAACAACCTGATTGATGATACACGATACGATGATGTAACATCGTACATTCAAATTAACCGCCGTGTAGTATTTGTAACATGGCGGTTTGAACCTTACACTTTGTCTATCGATAATGAATTTGCAATAGTGATCGTTTCTTTTTGTAGATAAAAGAATTTTAAATACGTTCAAAATGAAATTACTTTTAAATCTGGCGATAACATCATCTAAGCGATTATCTTATTTCAATGCCAATCTATTAAATCGCACTCCATGCTGGAGAAAAATGGCGACCGAGGTGGAGAAAGCACAAACTGCGGTTCCTACGGAAGATACAATTTTTGGGAAAATACTTCGTAAAGAAATACCTTGTGAATTCATTTATACAGACGATCAGGTAAATTGAATCGAATGATTGAAAACATAATTTTTCTATTTTTACGTTCCTGTTATGAACATTTAAATAAGGTTATTTACTCGTTTGTTTTGTCCTCCCTATCGAGAAATAATAATAAATGTAACTTTTTTTTTTTATATAAGTAATGTCGTGCGTAATTAGGGTCTTCAAGATATACCTTCATATAATTTATATCGTTGTTGAAATTTTATTATTAAAAATAACATCTTTTTATGTGTTAGTGTGTTGCATTTCGTGACATTAATGCTCAAGCACCAGTGCATTTTCTGGTGATTCCACGAAAACCAATCTCACAACTCTCAAAAGCTGAAGATGGGGATGAAGCCTTGCTGGGTCATTTAATGAATGTTGCCCGTAAAGTGGCAAAGCAAGAAGGTCTCGAAGACGGTTTTCGTTTAGTCATCAATGATGGCAGAAATGGTGCACAATCTGTGTATCACTTGCATCTGCATGTTCTTGGTGGTCGTCAAATGAAGTGGCCTCCTGGTTAAGAAACTTCATTTCATTTCGCAGAATGTTACATGCTATTGTAACTTGCAATTATAAAAAATATTTATTGTCAATAATAAAGTATTGAAGAAATGTTATTTATATTTAATAGTTTTGATTTAAGGTTGAATGTGGTTAAATTGTATATTTTTTATTTCAAAATAATCAGTAGTATTTAGGTACAAAAATTTATTCTTTTTTGTATACTTCATATATAAACTGTACACCATTTTCTTCTTGTACACCGTGCGGAATGTTTGGGTCTCTGAATTAATACAAAGAAGAAAAATAAGCAGGGAAAAAAGATTTAAATTATTGCCAGTAAATAAAGCTAAGCAAACTTACTGCATTAAGGTAAAATTATTAGGAATAGCTGGAAAGAATGTATCACAATCAAAATACTTTTTTATTCGTGTTAAATACAACCGGTGAAAGTTTGGAGATTCCATTGCACTCTGCAATTTAAAAGTATGTGTAAATTATGATTAAAAATTTCCATGAATTTCTAATAATTTTTATAAGTTGTCATACTTTGTATACCAAATTTCCTCCTATTACCCAAATAGTTTCGATTCCATTGCTCAATGGAGGTTTTTGAAGAATTTCCAAAGCATGTGGCATACTTTTACATATTATAGCATTGTCCCCGTAATCTCTGCATATTTAGTCATTCATTTATTCCTTTTCTTTTTGTTAATGTTTCATTTAAATTACTACAGAAGATAAATCTTACAGATTCTGTGACGTTAAAACTACATTTATTCGATCTTTCAACGGTCTGTACTTAGGTGGAATACATTCCCATGTCCTTCGTCCCATTATAACAACGTTTTTCTTATTTGGATCCTTCGTGTTCGTAGTCATAGATGTAAAGAAGGCCATTTCACTCCTGTAACCACGTGTTAGGAATAGGTTGGAATATATACCCACATATATATATATGTATATACATGTATATATTTCTCACTTTAGTTTCCATGGTAACGACCCTTTCACACCAATACCCATCCCTTCACATACCGCCGCAATTATATTTAAATTTAAATTCATTTTCTGAACAATAAAAACTCAACTTTTAGGTGCTGTAAAATAAGTGTATAGTTAGTTCGAACGATATAGCACACTTGGAAATCGTATTCCTTACGCGATTAAGGCGTTGCCGATCACTGTTGACGTCGCCGACAATCAAGATTGTTTATAATTTGTAGCTACAGGTATTTATATGTTTAATACCAAGCAGTATAATAGAAAAAGTTGTTGATTATATTTGAATTCCTACTTAGAACGTTAGCTACCACCTATTGCCAATTTAGTACCATTAAATACTGCTTAACCGTTGCAGTGCTATGATTCATTGGAAAAATTTTCTGGGAAAGTAATTATATCATACAAATCATTAATTTTTTTTATTAATTTAAGAAAAACAAGTGTGATTGGTATAGAATTGCTAGGATTACAAATTTAGAGGCATATAAAAATAAATAGTACAATCTTCAAGATGGAAAGATGTTAAAAGTTCTAAATGGCCATCTAGGGATATAAAAATCTTATCATTTCTATAGTTTATTATTACTCATAAAAAATTAGTTTTATACAACATATAAATTTCAACTTCTTATTTAATTATGAAAAATTGTGCGACGTAATTGTTCTTCGGAATCACGTAAACATACAAATCTCAAATTTCTGCTCAAATATTATTTAAGTTGTTGAATTGACCAAGGTTTATGATGTGTACACGTTTTTTACGGTATCCTTGAAGAAGATAATTGAAATGCGTTGGATTCGAACGTAGTAATTATAAGTACAATTATATAATTTTTCGAAATTATTTGATAACTAAACGTTTGTCATAGTTTTGTACCGAATGGGCAGAGTGTATGAGTGTTGAGTATATGGAGTGTATAAGTGGTCTTCAATGTAGTGACATTTATTTAGTCATATTACACAAAAAGTTAAATCAACCGACAAGACATGAAATCTGATGGTTTCTTGGTATCGAACTGTTGACAGTATTTTCCTGAGTTGATTAGGTTTCACGTATGAATTGTTTAAATTTAAAATTTTTGAAATACTACGATATATGTAATACAAACTTTGTTACTAGATGGCATTCTGAAACGTAATTTATACTTTTCTCGATAGATGGCAGCACCATTTGTGTCATCCACCATTTAACGTCATGCGACATTCCTACTTCTGATGTGATAACCAAACTTTGTTCCCGTATAGAAGTATTTAGTTGTAGTACTCTAAATTTTTTAAATTAATTGGATTATTTAGCAAGTTTGTCTGTATTATAAGGTAAACAATTATTATTAATGTTCAATTTCAATTAATTTATGTAATTAATGTTGCAATTTAACTAATTTTTAATAATTTTACACGTTCGCATTGATTTTAAAGAATTTCAAATTCTGTGTCTACTGTATTTCTTCTCCTCCTATATTATTTAAGTATTTAGCTTATACTAAGCGGATGATTTAGATCATGTGATATTTTTTATCAATTTCAGAATATTGCTGGTTTTGACATGACGTCAGTTTTATAGGTTATACTTTCTCTAAAACTCGAAGCATTCTAATTTCATAATAATTGAAATATAGTATTACGTTTGAAGCTATTGTATTGTCTATTATAATTTTTTTTTACTATTTAGTCATGTTACACTTACAAAAATCGTTTTACAAATATCGTGTAAAATTATATGATGTACTTTTAGAATGTCCAGTCGTGAAGGTGGTAAGAAAAAACCTCTTAAGGCACCAAGAAAAGAACCAAAAGTTTTAGATGACGAAGATGTAGCATTCAAGCAAAAGCAAAAGGAGCAACAGAAAGCACTTGCTGAAGCTGCAAAGAAAGCAAGTCAAAGAGGACCTCTTGTCACGGGTGGTATAAAGAAATCTGGCAAAAAATGATCCAGTTAAGACTGATGAAAAATGCAATTGTCGTGCACACCATGTTCTTATCAAATCTTGATTTTGATATTATCGATTAGTACATTATCCGAAATACAGTTCGGGTCTACCACTTTGACAAATGGTTACAATTGTAAATAAAACGTTTATGGATTAAATTATAGCAATATACATATTTTATAGGTATTTGCATTTTTATTGTTTGATATAACAATTCAAGACATTCGAACTATTTGACAAATATGTTTTATAATTTTGTACTCTTACTATTTAAGCATTAGATATTCGATAGCAATAAAATAATAAAATTGTTACCGTATTTCCTGAAAACACGCAAGTAGTTTACAACGTTGCGATCATCGATGATTCATTGTTGTTGACTGAATTTTTTATTCGTAATCGCTGTAAGTTTCATGCTTTTTAATTGCTTAATCCCGAATTTGATCTCATTTAACTGACAAATAATAAACTGTTACATCAATTAACCTTGAGTTAAAATACTTTGTTTCAAGATTTCAAACATAGTTCAACGATGAAGTCACGTGTGTTACATTAATTATATCGTTGTGTAATATCGTCGATAAAAGACGGAGTCACAGAAGATACGAATAATGTCGTACAAGTATTCGTACTAGTCTAACTTTTTCGAATCTTTATTTCTTAAACCAAGTGCAAACATGTCCATTGAAGAAGCATGAATTACAGCTGATTGCCATATGATCGACAGTGTTGGCAACTTTTGCAAAAAAAAATTTCTTAATTATATACTGCTCAGTCTCTTCGTTATACGTATTACCGGTTTTACAGTGAAATAGGCTTTTAAAACACAATTGAAGGTGGAATTTTCTGCTTCCTGTTTATTTTGGAAGAATGTATTTCGCTTTAATACTCATAAGAGCCTCTGATCGCAACAAGAAACTGCAAAAATCACGTATCATTATCCTTTCTCGTAATCCTTTATTCGTATGTCGTAAATCATACTATTGTGTTATAAACATAGTTTCAAGCGAATCATGTAATATAATATATGTTTGGTGAGGTCATGTAGCATACGATAACGTATATTTTTTAAGGAGGACCAACGGTATATACGAATGTTTCGACATAAGATGCTGCATTTGGTTTCAGGTATTACTCCGAGCATCATCGAGCAGCGGTAGAATAGTTATTTTATCGAGTATACGTTGGTAAACGTGGTGGCTCGCGGAGAGCTGTCACTGGCTGGGTCAGTTGGCAACAGACCTTCGAGGTGGTCGTAAGTGCTTGTGCTGCTTGAATCCTGCATCCGTCAAACCTCTCTTGTGGAGTTTGCACGCAAAGGACAATCGAAAGGGTTCTCGCGTGTACCGTGACACAGGAGCTACAACTGCGAGGGACGAATTCGCGAGTGCGTCGATAGTTTGGGAAAACCATGGAGCTCGTCAGGATCATTTGACCCAAGGGAACGACTCCAGGCTCGGTGGATCGTGCTACCTCGCGTGATACTACAAATCGGTGAGTATTACCAACTCTTTCGCTCTTCCTCTCTGTGACAGTTCATTTCTGTCCTTCCAAGGGAGAACAGAGTCAGGAAATGTTCTCTTTCTCTTTCTATTACGTGCGTCACGTAAATGCTCTGTGCCATGGACGTGTGATGCATGTGTTTGCGTGTGCCTACAAAGGGACACCATGTTATTCACCTGCATCACGTACCATATTGCGAACCTTGTGCTTTTTCTCTACCTCCTCCACCCTCAGAGGGTTGTGCCGCAACTACTATCGAGATGATCGGGCACGATTTCCTGGCCTGACATGTGTGGGTAACACGGTGGTCTCGTAAACGGTCTATTGTAGATGTATCGTATCGCGAGAGGAAGAAAGAGCACACAGTTAATGCGTATATCTAGCCTCTCGCCACGCGTACCTCGTCCAGGCGAGAAGCTTGGACTCGTTCGTCCTATAAAAATTGCGAGCTTTTTTAATAAAACATCGTTAGTCCGTTTAATTTCCTTCAGTCGTGAGTGACATAGGCGTAGTGTTAGGAAACTCACGCAGCGAATTAATAGATACGACACGGTAATTTTCCACCCAGAAATTTTGCACTTTTAGCAGTAATCTTTCGTACGGCTGATGTAAAATGGATGCATCGTGATATGTACAATTATCCCTTCGAATTTTTTCTTTTCTCTCCGCTTTCGAACGTTACGTTTAATAATCGCGAGAAAATCGAAATCTTACTTATTCGTTAACGAGGCGTAATAGATATCGCGTATTCCACTAAAATTAGGCAGACTTTAAAATCCCTCGTATCGTATCGGTGTTCGTACGTGGGCATGTTTAATTTAAGTTTATCAACTGTTACAGATACTCGTAACCCTGGAACGTCACAAATTACTACCGTCAATCGTTCTCCCGTTCTATTCAAATCGATCAAGGAACGTTTCCACGTGTCGACCGATCCGCGACTCTTCGCGATAAGACCCAAGGAGTCGCAAAATAATCGCTGCGACAAACTTATGACGCATTCAGATGCACACGTGGAAAACTCGAGGGTGAACGGCGTGTCACCAACGCGGTACTTCAATAGAAACCGATATCACGAACACTGTCGAGGTTAACTTTGACCTTCTGTTCCTTTTCCGTTGCAACGGAACCGCGCTGCTACGGTATTCCGGTATTCTTTTTTTTCTTTTTTTAATTTCGACCACGCGTTGCGTCACTTCCTCGACGCTTCGAAATGCACACGTGAGCTCGGGTGATTTAATAAATCCGACACGAGGCTCGTTACGCACGGCGGTTAAAACGAACGATTATTTTCATCCTACGATCGTAGGCCGATTTTCATCCAGTCTTCGTAATTCATAGCGGCTGGTACTACGCACCGTGATAATTCGTTGCGTCAGACTTTTCGATCTTCGTAATATCCATCGAACGCGTACTTCTAACAAATGTCCGTGAGCATTCGCGAGCATGTACGTACTTTGAAATATTTCTCTTGTATTTCCACCAAACGAATGCTCGCCAGCAAAAATATATGTATATATATACACATATATATACACCGCTTAATACGATGAAAAGCACGTGTGCGTACGCATACTGTGGGGTTCTACTTTGGTAAGAGTATTAAGGCAATTACGGAAGAAAATATACTACACGTAGCCGTTGTACGTTAAATGAAAAACCTCTTTCCGATGACGACACGATTTAAAAAATTTGAAAAGTCGAAAATTCGGAAATTGGAGAAATCGAAAATTTGGAAACATTCGAATGTTTGACAATTAATGAGGTTAGAAAGCACGATATTGTGTAATTTTTGGTACGGGTTAGATTTAGGTTAGGTTTGGGTTAGATAAAAATTCGGAAATTGGAAAAATCGAAAATTTGGAAACATTCGAACGTTTGACAATTAATGAGGTTAGAAGGCACGATATTGTGTAATTTTTGGTACGGGTTAGATTTAGGTTAGATAAAAATTCGGAAATTGGAAAAATCGAAAATTTGGAAACATTCGAACGTTTGACAGTTAATGAGGTTAGAAGGCACAATATCGAGTAATTCTTAGTACCGGTTAGATTTAGGTTAGGTTTGGGTTAGATAAAAATTCGGAAATTGGAAAAATCAAAAATTTGGAAACATTCGAACGTTTGACAGTTAATGAGGTTAGAAGGCACGATATTGAGTAATTTTCGATATGGGTTCGGTTTAGGTTAGGTTTGGATTAGATAGGAATTCGAAAATTGGAAAAATCAGAAATTTGGAAACATTCGAACGTTTGTCAAATGACGGGGTTAGAAGGCACGATATTGAACAATTTTCTCTTCGATGTTAAGTTCGATGTCTCCATTTCGGCGTTGTGCAAAATGGATCGCAGTTGCAAATGAGAGTAGGTTCATGTGACTCGCCTGGTTTTTTTTTTTTGCACGAACGTATGTGTTTTGTCTCGGTTGCCTGCATTCTAGGTGCATCGGTTTCTCATCGTTAGTTTTGGCCTCGTCATCATGCTCGTGTACTCGCTGCGGTAACCTTGTGCAACGCTTTAACGATTCGCACCTACGCGAGCCGCTAAGTCTCGCCGATAATTCCGAAGAACTTTTTGCTATCGGAAGACAACGGGAGAATAGAATTTTTCGTCTCATGGAATGGATTCAGCGAGAATCCGCGTCAATTGATGCCAATCAACCGCATTGTTTTAAAGATCGCACGTAGGCATCTCTTGCGTCATTTATTATTAATTCGATGCATCGCGAAAAATGGAAAAAAGGGGAAAAAGGGAAAAAAGGGAAAAAAGGGAAAAATAAAAACGGAAATCTTTCTTTCACTGTTATTCGACGCGTTTCGTGCACGAGATCCCGTTGAGTATTCGAAAATTACGTTCCAAATTTAAAGGCAGCGAGCAGTTATAAATATTCGGGTTCGCGATTGTTTGATGACAACGATAATTTGTAACGGTTACGTCACGTCGATGTAAGAATGACTGGAAACGAGCCTGGATTTCACACGGGTCATTTCCATACGCGTAATGTGGCATTAGAATTGGTACCAGGCAAAGGTCGAAGTTCAATTGCACGTCCAGATTCTCTTCTCTCGCGAGTTTCGACTCGATTCAGGTTTTATCTTTGTCGAATAAGTTTGGTTATATACAGAACTCGATCTAGGATATAAGGTGCGCATAAATAATTTATAAGACCTAGATTCCGAGAACGAATGTTTGTACAAACGTTAGATAAGAATAGGGGGTTTAGGCGCACTGCGTCTCGTATCCTTTTGCACTCTCTCACGAATCGGTCAGTCGCTGTAGAGTAGCACTCGAAGATAGATACACCTTGAGCAACAAAGGAAATTAAAAGATAATATGTATATCGTAGTTATTTCGCAATTATAATCCCCTAATCCCAATAATCTTTAAACGCGAGTAAGATCGCGATGGCTTTCTCATATGTCCAGGCGAGTGGACGATTGAATCGTTTCCCCGTGCAACGTCAGAAAATTGAATTTCACGTGGCAAGCTTGCCGGTTACTTGGACTAAAATTGCTAGAACGATTCGACGTGTATTTAACGATATTACGTAAAGACGATGACGCGTGGCCGTGCCAAAGACTCGGCCGGAATTATCAGCGATCTCGTCGAATCTCATTTAGATTCATCGTGCTCGTAAATCAGTACCGACATCGTTCTTACCGCGTACGTAATGCGGTAACAGTGAAAACGCGGAAATCCTTGCACACCTTTGAAATTTCAGCCTAGAGAACGTCTCAATCGCGCTGGCCAGTGGCTAATTCGAGCGTCGACCAGAATCGCTTTGGCTAAAAGGGTTAACGATAAACGTGCCAATTTTCTCCCTGCATCGTAATTCGTGCTGTCAATATGAGCACGAATTCTAACGCATCCTATTCAATCCGGCGATAAGCCGACAGACTATGGCTGATGAAACTATACCGGTCTCGACCTCTTTCTTCGTCCCCTTATCAGCATGCACGTTCGCGCCGATAATAAGATTCGCCTCGGTTTCTCGGATCGGAACCCTTTCTCCGCCTTCTTCTCTGCTTCGTACGCGATCACGATTTTTCCCCGAGTAATTTACGGGATCGGTAAAAGTCATCGAAACGTACGTAGCTCGGGCAGCTAGATAAGCCGAGAGCCAGTCGCGTAAACGAGCTGACCCACATTATCAAAGAACCGTTCGTACGAGCAGGATGTGTACGTGTTCACTGAGCGTTTGTATGCACCGGAACACTCGTGTGTTCCGTGACGACAGAATGCATCAATTGAGAAAGCCATTAGTGGCCCTTTCCGTTATGCGCGCTGTCTAAATCCTCCCCTGGTATACATGTCGATAAGTTTCCAGGGTTTAAGCGCTGATAGCTCGCGGTTGCCACGGCTAGGCAATGATTCGTTAAACCTTGCTTCCATTAAAAAACTCGATTTTGTTTGCTCCGATCGATAACGGACACTCGCGTATGACTTATCGGCGACAATGGCAATTCGAGTCGTGGATCTTTCATAACGTCGCGTTTATCGCGATGGCCGACTCGTTACGCGTGAATCAGGTGCTCGACAGGGTGGGATGAATCGCGCGATCGAAGGGGGCACGTCGCGAGCTGTATTCCACGTGCGCGAACAGTAGTTTCTCCGCGTTTAACCGTTTGAGTGCCAAGCGGCGCGATCGCGCTTCTATTTTGTGTCCAAAAGTGCCAGCGCTCTGAGCTGCGAAGCTGACAATCAGCACGCTCGGTTGATGAACGCGGAATATGAGAAGCGCTATCGCGCCGCTCGGCATTTTTGGACACGGAATATGACAAGCGCTATCGCGCCGCTTGGCAAATATCGATTGGGAAACAATAATGACTCGTGGCACTCAAACGGTTAATAAAATAACGACGGCATCGCGACGTCTGTCATACTTCTGCGATCCTACAACTAGCACACCGATGATGATTCACCGGGCTAATCGCAATAGAGTCTCGTAAAGTTTTCTCGCACGGATCCACTTTCTCGAGTGCAAGTAGCACAT